CCAGTGTGCCCCCTTTCAATGCAGAGAGACTTACCTGCAGCGGCGGCTTCTACTCAGTTCCCCGGGTCTCCTCGAGTCCTCCCGCCTCCTGCTCAGCAGCTCAGCCAATTGTATGCATTCGCCTTTCGGCCAGTGAGGAAGTGGATCCCACTTCCTGATTGGCTAGGAGGAGGATCCGTGTGACAATAGCGAAATTTTTGCGAAATCTGTGACAGCGCTGAGAGAGAGTGAGTGAGCCAGGTAGGGGCAGAGAGCTGCGAGTGCGAGCGCCCCCCCCCAGATGTTGCACCCAGTGCGGCCGGCCCCCCTGCACCCCCCACGCTACGCCACTGCATGAAGCCATGAAGTTCAAGATCTGAGGAAACCTTGTCTAAAACAGGGGTGTATTCAAGAGCTGACAGAATGCCCATGCAGATGGGGCCTGGTCACTGAACAACATAGTCCAGGCTCCAAACTGAGATGTAATGTTTTGCCTAAGCAATATCTGAATCATGTTCTAGCAAGAAATTAGGATTGCCAGATCGGTCTATTTCCAGGCTGAATCTCCTTCGCATGTGTTCATTCATAAGCCCATTCCATTTCACTAATTTGTATTTAAAACAAAAAGCAAAAAAAATCACATGTAAATGCATATCCTAGAACCAATTTTCTCACAAAATACTCATTTCTAAAACAGATTTTATCTAAAAGTATGCATTTTAAATGCACTTGTATGCATTTTTTTGAGCCAAGAGAATGTTTCAACATAAAATTCATAGATGTGTGAAAACTGAAGGATAACTGCATTCTGATTTACACATTAGCTGAGGAGGGCAGGATGAACCAGGGCAGTTCATCTCAGAAGTCTATATCAAGAATGAATTCCTCATGCCTTCCTATTTAGAAAAGGTCAGTGTAAACTATTATAACTCTTTCTGGACCTCGGGACTCTCCCTAACTAATTCACCCACTTTTGCCTCTGGCGCCACCAGGTGGTTGCCCAACGGGAAGTGCAGCCCTTCCACTGAAAAATATCCTCCCACTTGTGCCAAATATGCACATTAATAAAATTTACAATAACAGGGGGGAAACAATGCAATGAATGTGCAGGCTTTTGGGAAAGTGACGACTATAAAATATTAGCCTCAAGAAAAGCCAACCAAATGTCTTCACATTTGTCTTCTTTACACACAGCCAACTCAAATAGGACCAAAAACTGCAAATCATTAATCCATAGCTGTCTGGAAGTCACTATTTATAGATTACGTTCTCCACTCATGCCTTTATGCTCAAATGGGTTTGCAGAAAAGTAAGCAGTCTACAATCATAATACACAACAGAAGTTATACTATCACTATAATATAACACAAAGGATTCAACGATTAAGAGCTCATTTAATGTGCATCAAAAGGCTGGCACAGCATTTAAAATAGACAGATTAGTGAAATTTGATACATGGTAATAAAAACATGTCTGCATGTAGTTCTAACTACTGTATACATTTTGCAAGCAATTTCTCCTAAAATAATTCATTCTTCACCAATATATTAATTTCTATGTACATTTTCCAAAATCTGTGCATTTTTGTAAACTTTGGTTTGAGAACTGCATTGCAAAATTCAGGTAAGTGTGAATTTCAAAGGATGGTTGTTTTGGTTCTTACAGTGTTTCAGTAAGTGCACTTTTGATAGGTTTGGCTTTAAATGTTGAATTGAATCTAATTCCTCTCCCATCCCTTGTCAGAACCAGAACTTTACATTTTACCAAAATTCAACCAAATATACAAATATAAGAGAATAATTGCTACACAATAATTAAATGCATTACAAAAAGGTAAATACAGAAGGTACTTTTCTGATATCAAACTGAAATATGAATCAGCTTATAATTAAGATTATTAATATTTACGAATTGCCTTACATGTATATGCCTCAAGGCAATGCACATGTTATAAAAAAAACAGCAAAGAAAATAACAGTAAATGAACTGAAAAATAATAGGAGACAGCCATGGAAGAGACATAGCCAGCCAGTGGGAAAGTTTGTTGGATCAAAAATGTCGTCAGCTGTTTCTGGAAAGCACAGATAGTGGGAACCTGTTGTATCTCAACAGGGATGATATTCCACAGGTCAGGACAGCCATACTAAAAGCCCTGCTCCAAGTTACTGTGGTGTGGGTTTCAGATTTCTGTATAACTTGCAGGTCTCCTGGGTGTTACAGTAGTATACTGGATATATACAGGATACAGTAGTCTCAAATAACCCAGTATCATACAATGAAAACAAAAGGTAGAAAACAAATGTTTCATATCCTATTAACAATACTCAACATAGCTGCGTCAAACAATTTGATGCAGTTTTCAACGAGGTCATCTTTTTCAGTAACTGAAAATCCAAAGTTGCTGATTGCAAAATAGACCCAGGATGTACCGTATCCAGGCTTGTTTCTTTCAAAGCACATGAAAATATATTTATAAAATAGCTCTCCTTATGATCTCACAATGTTGTGTAAGTGTTGAGCCAGGGCTGAAAGACCTGGGTTCAAATCTTGTTGCATGTGTGTAAGGAACAGGCCCAGTGTCAAGGGTCAGCCTGGTTGGGCATCTGCTGAGCACCAACTGGCAGGAACCTCCTGGGTTCTTGTTGTTGTTTGGCATAAAGGAGGTCAAATCACTGAGGGAGAGGACCATGAAGAGTGCCTCACCCAAGGGCCCCCCGAAACCTGGAGTTGACACTAGTAAGGAACAATAACACTAAGGTTTGTTCAACTCTGTGCTGAGCTTTGTTCAATGTGACCCCTCCAAAACTAACCACTCATGAAGAAGCTGACTTGATCTCGCAAAAGGATACAGTGGTTCACAATGTGAATGTCTGTCCCTTTACTTTCCCCTTGACAAACACAACTCAGCTAATAGGTTTTCTCTGTGGCCAAGGACTCCCTTCAACAGCTCTGCTTGTTGCAATCAGACTTTTCCCCCCAATGCCAGGCAGTGGAGAAGTTGACTAGAAAAGTTCTGGCTGAAGTGTTTACAGGCTGCTCAAGCGCAGCAGGAAATGACTTGTTTGACTTCAACAGTTGCCCTGAATCTCCTTGCCAAAACCCTACACGGCGAAGCGTGCATTACTTGCTTTAGCAGAGGTATGACTTAATGCCCCTGTTACTCAGTTTTATATCTGAGCTGCAGATAGGAGGAAAGAGACGTTGCTTTACAAGCAGAAAATGTGACTTGGAAAGAGTTGTGAGGCTGAAACATGATGGGCAGACGTTAACTCATTTGCTTCTTTGGAGCATCTGCACTCATATCGCCGGCCAGATGAAGAACTGCTTGCCTGAACATGTGCCATGCACATGTTCCCTCTCCTTAATCCAGATCTGCAGATACAGAGCCCTAAAAAAAAGAAGAAAAAACTGTAATCACTCCCAAGGTGTTCAGGGAGAGAGTGGGGGATTCAGTACACCCCTGGCCTTCCCAAGCAACTGATTGATGCTACAGCCCTTTGGGGAAATGTAATGTGCACTTTCTGTTCAATCGGCACGATGGGATACGTATAGTTTCAGTCCATTAGAAATCAGCTGGACTAAAAGCCACAATCAGATCCTGATTTAGTAGTCATATTTTTTCCTCCATAGCACAAAAACTAGCAATAACAGTTCTACGTCACCTTGAGTGCAAACTCATTCCACTGCAGAATGTGTGCAAATGACTCGGCCTCTAAGACCACAATATTATTATATGGAGTATTAAAATCAGTGGTGCTTGACTCCCATAAAAATACACAGAGGACCTGGTTTAATTTTGCATAATATACCTGTTTTTGGAAAGCAATGTTCCCTAATCTAATGCAGTTTTGTATGTTATTTTCCCTTAATATATGCAATTATAGGCACACTTTACCCTACCATATGCATTTTAGAGAAGCATGAATTTCGGCGTTGTTTCAGAAACAGCAAATCGGGTAAGTTTGCCTGTAAATACAAGCCAATGAATTTTTCCCCTCCTCATCCTTAGTCAGCATCCCCCCCCCAAAGCTTCCTGTATACCTTTTATTTTTAATGAAGTACCCTGTTAAGACAGTGGTTCCCAAACTATTTCCCAGAGGAAGAAGACAAAGCCTAATGGAAGGCGAGGATCCTGAAAAAGGTGCTATCTCCATCCCCCACCAGCCAAGACTGCTTCAAGTTGATTGAATGGCTCCTCGTAGGGAATCCTCACAAATCCAAACTGAATTTGGGAGGAGGAGTGATTGATTCTTTATGCCCCGTTATCACTAAGTGATGTGCATAAAATAAGATATAATTTTAAGCAAATAAATAAAACCGATAGGGGAGCCAGGTTCAAAACCTTTCAGAGCTACAGCTCCAAGAAATTTCACTTCCACATTTTGGTTGTGATCCACAATTCACAAGCCTAATTCATTTTGATGGAATTGAGCCACAGTTGGAAAGGTTATTAAACAATGGTAGGATTTCACAAAGTGTGTCTGTTCTTCTTCCCTTTCTATTGAGTTTGAGTTTAAAAAAAAACAATTGCAAGGTTTTTTATTATAAAGGTAAATTATAAAAAAACAAACCTCGGTTTCTTAAAGGTGCAGCACTGTTTTTGTTGTTGTTTAGTCCTTTAGTTGTGTCCGACTCTTCGTGACCCCATGGACCAGAGCATGCCAGGCACTCCTGTCTTCCACTGCCTCCCACAGTTTGGTCAAACTCATGTTCGTAGCTTCGAGAACACTGTCCAACCATCTCGTCCTCTGTCGTCCCCTTCTCCTTGTGCCCTCCATCTTTCCCAACATCAGGGTCTTTTCCAGGGAGTCTTCTCTTCTCATGAAGTGACCAAAGTATCGGAGCCTCAGCTTCACGATCTGTCCTTCCAGTGAGCACTCAGGGCTGATTTCCTTCAGAATGGATGTGTTTGATCTTCTTGCAGTCCATGGGACTCTCAAGAGTCCCATGGGACTCTCAAGAGTCGCAGCACTGTAGAAATTAAATAAATAAATAAATAAATAAATAAATAAATCAATAATTGTCCAGTAGCACCTTAGAGACCAACTAAGTTTGTTCTTGGTATGCATGCACACTTCTTCAGATACATGGACATGCACACGAAAGCTCATACCAAAAACAAACTTCATTGGTCTCTAAGGTGCTACTGGACAATGTTATTTTATTTTTTATTATATATTTCTACTGCGTCAGACCAACACGGCTACCTACCTGAGTGCAGCACTGTGTTATTAACTGAGGCAAGCAATTAAGATGGTGCTAGATGGCAGGGGTGCGGGGAGAGAAAACCTGAAATTTAAGTCACACAGATCAATTCTTAAACACTGCTGTGGTATATGACTTTTACACACTAGAGGGCAGGCTTGAGTCACATTGTCAGTATTTCTACCTGCTCTGCAACTTATTATCAGCTATTAAGCCAAGTTCAAGGTGCTGCTTTTGGTGTATAAAGCCCTGTACAGCTTGCGACCAGGACACCTGAAAGATTGTCTCACCTCTGCAGGTGAGGACCTGCAGATACCATCTTATCCGACGGTCTGTTCTGTATGAGGAGGGATTCTGTCCTTTAGTGTTGTGGCACCCACCTTTTGGAATTCCCTCCCCTTGAATATTGTCTTCTCAGTGCCTGATAACTTTCATCTTCTAACAAACCTTCTTGGATCTTTCCCCATCTTCATCTGTATTGGAATTGTTTTAAAGATGTTTTTATTATCACTTCTTGTTTACCATCCTTGGCTCCTTTGGGAGAATAGGGGATGTCAGGGAACTGACATCGGAGCTAGAGGCGGAGGGAAGGCTCTCAAATGATGCTGGAGAAGGGCCCAGCAGGGAGAGAGGCAGCTCCGCAGATGGGGAAGCAAATCAGCGCAACACCAGGGATAAAGGGGGGCAGATGGGGCAATCGGCGAGAGGGCTCCAGGACTCTTCACCGGACACCAGCGGGAGAGCACGGGTCCTCCGCTACCCACGCCCTCCCTGCGCAGAAGACTTCCGCGCAGAGAGTAGGAGGAGACTGGGTGTCAAACAACTTTTATGTTGGAAAAGATTTAAGAAACGCCCACTGACGGATTCTGCTAGCGACTGAGGCAGCCACGAAGTGAAGGGCTGCCCAGACTGAAAGGTTTAACAAGGCAACAAAGCCAGGAGAGGCGGCAACTTACGCACGAGCAACCCATACTCATTACAGGTGAGGTGTAAATTTAATAAATAATAATCAATATTGTGAATTTAAAAAAAAAAAATTCAAAACCACTTCTTCACCAAAAGTGATGTGCATATTAAAGATTTATTTTTTAAAAGGTGGTGCACATATTAAAACCCTCAAAATAAAAGTATAACAATACACGGAACAAGATGCAACAGGTCAAAATAATAGTAACTACCACTGGAATTACAGAGGCTGGACTTTGGGCTTCACATGAGAGACATGTCACTGTGATTACAGGACTCCTTGTGTTTTAATTTTTTTTTTTAATTTGGGCTAAAACTGTACAAGTTCATTCATTATAATTTTTTCAATTTTAATGTGTTTAAGTCATTGTTCATGGCCTTATTTACCATAACCACATCAATTCTTTATAACATCCAACTCATACCGCGTTAAGTCACAGTAGAGCATGTTCTCACAAAGCAAGAACTGAAGAACAAATAGACTGGATGTAAACTGAAATACCATCAAGAGTGCCTTTGTGGATAATGTACTAGAAGTACAAATGTAGAACAGTAGGCTAGTGATACCCAACTCTGTTTCTCCACAGAGGCTGTGCAACCCCCTGGCCTGGTGTCTGGATGCAATGGTGGCCTAGATGTCAGGGGCAGATGACTGGACATGTGTTACTCCACCCCAACAGGGCTGCACAGGTTGCCAACTTGCTACCAGGCCAGTGTTTGTGTTAATTCACAAAGCCCTAAACAACTTGTGCTGAAAGTATCTGAAATTCTGTATTCTCTCATAGGAACCTTCCCTGGGTTCTGAGATCTTTGAGGGATGCCCTTCCCTCAGTGCTGCCACCCACACAGGCAAGCTTGGTGGGGACACAAGCGGCTGCTCCCAGACTTTGGAAACTCCCTCCCAAGAGAAGCTGGACTGGCTCCTTCCATGTCTTTCTGCCAAGAGGTGTAGACTTTCTTGTTCCAACAGGCTTTTGGGAACCGACTGCTTTTAATGAAAGGACTGGCACTGTGTTGTTTTCATTGTAATTATCTGTATGTTTTTAATAGGTCGTATATAGGTGTGCGGGTATTTAAGTTTCAATTATATTAATGTTTAATTGTTTTAAAAATATTTTTCCTGTTTTTAGCTGCTCTTGTTTTATCTGTAAGCTACCTTGAGTCCTGGAAGGGAAGAAGGTGGGTATAACAACAACAACAACTACTACTTTAAAGACCAGCTGATCATTTACATACCATCTGTATCACTAAGAACAACTGACATGGCACTTCTGGTGATTCCCTGTGTCCTTGGGGTTTGCTTAGCCTTCCCTAGGGACAGAGCCAGTGCTTTTTTCTGGGCGTACCTTTTCCCCTCAAATGTTAAAATAGAAAATAGAAATACTTTATTGTCACCATACCACTTGTTTACAGTGAGATTAAACGAGCCCCCCTCCCCTCCAATCTCTCAGTCCTTGTTACACTCTGTGTGCTGCCGAACGACCACCAACCCCAAACGTCAGCTGCAATGTTGCTGTCTTCCATTCAGCAGCCTTACGGCCCACAGGTAGAAACTGTTCTTTAACCTGCTGGTGCGGCTTATGATGCTTCTATATCTCCTGCCCAAGGACAGGAGATTGAAAAGGTGCTGGCCAGGGTGTGAGTCATCCCTGAGAATGTTCCTCGCTCTTCTGAGGCAACGGTCTCCTGCGATGACATCTAGCGGACTCAGGGGACAGCCCATGATATTGTGTGCTGTCTTCACCACCCTCTGTAGGGACTTTCTGTCCATGGCTGTCAAACCAGTATACCACATTGTAATACAGTTTCTATCGTGGACTGATAGAAGGAAATCATCAGTTGCTGTCTAACATTGTTCTTTCGCAAGACCCTAAGGAAATGAAATCTCTGTTTGGGCCTTCCTAACCAGGAAAGTCTGGCACTTAGTATAACAACCTCATGGTGGGTGCTGGCACCTTTTTCTATATATATATAAAAAAGCACTGGACAGAGCCTTTAGTGTTGCAGGCATTGCCCTGTGAATCTCCCTACCACTAGGGGTTCAGCAGCACAGCAGAGGTTATGGAAGACTTTTGCCAATTTTATTCTTAGATGTTTTATACTACCTCAATATAACTTTATGGAAATGTGAGTTGCAAATAAATAAATCAACTGATTTGTTGCTTGTGATAATTGCAGGGCAGTCAATAAATATCTCAGCAGCATCCACAGCAATTTTCTTCAGCCACAAGGTGGCGCCAAGAATACAACAGATTCCATCAATGGTGGGGATTTTAATTGTGTGCCATAGCAGAAGATGCCCTTGGTTTTAGGTTTATTTACTTTATTCATAGGTGACCAGCAAAAAAATATTCAGAACAGAAGGCACCACCAGGCGTGAGTTCTAGGAAACAGTAAACTTTAAATGAATTATGAACATGCAATTTATAACATGCTCATTTATAACAAAAGTTCAGTCCTTTCTCACTATAGTTAGAGGATAAGATCATACACAGAAGTCTAAGATTTCTAACATACTAATCCAGTAAAAAAAAGATAGATAGAGCAAATGTACTGAAGTGAAATGTTTTTGAAGTTATAAATGATTTCAGGGCAATGACACCACTCTATCTCAAAATTAGTTGGTCCATAAATGAATGTTAGTAGGTTCGTAATTCACAAATGTATTAAAAACTCTGATTTCAATCCAACATCTTATAATCGTTTCATAATTGAAACTGGTTGCTTACAAGTTCATTTTATATCCTGTATGACTGACATGACTAAGTAGCCCAACTCAGTTGTTTTGTTTCCGCAACCTTTTACACATTCTGAAGGAAATGAAAAGTCCCATTTGCCATGTACATGCAGAACAATTTTACTACAACTCTTTAGTTACGGGCATTTTTGTCACGAACACATCTTGATCTTCTTCTACTCAGCACCAATCTGCAGTTGTAAACAAAGAACGTGGAAACAGTGGATGCTTCATCAGGCATGATGTTATGATGAATGAAGGTGGAAAAGAACACATAACACACTACATTCCCAAAATGCGCTTTGGCAACATGCATGTGCAAACATCTGAAGATCGTTTGAGCTCTTCCAACAAGAGAACTTTTGTCTGAGTTTATACCGTTTGACTTGTAAGCTGGTGAGCAAGTTACAAATTCATCCATCACTAGTTTAGAGTATAGAATCATACAATTGTATAGTTGGAAGGGACCACGAGGGTCATCTAGTCCAACCCCCTGCAATGCAGGAATGTTTATGGCCAGTGTTTGTCTCGAACCCATGACCCTGAGAATAAGATTTTCAAATTCCAAACTTAAGTGCAATAACGCACCACAGACACACTGGAACTTATATTTGTGTAAAATATGCATAGGACTACACTGTCTAGGAGAAACTCAACCATGTTTGAAACAGGGCCATGTGCAAGATCATTTACTGCTGTGTTCATAAGATTATTGCAGAAGATAAGAATTGGGCTGTTTTACAGTGACATATAAGGTGATGTAAGACTTTTATGCATTTTACCTGAAGCTGTTCCTTCAGTCATGCACAGGGCATATTATTCCCAAATCACCCACTAGGAGAAATAACAGGTGTGTTGTGGTAATGAATTGGCACATGCATTCCAGTTAATCACAGATCCATTATCTTAACATAGCCATCTGCCCTGGAGCAAGTTGCAGGCTTGTGTGTGTGTGTTTCAAGGCAGGATTTCATACAGCAACCTTTCCCAACCTGGTGTCTTTGAAAAGTCTTCCTGTCAACCTCAGCCAGTATAGCAAATGATATAAAGCAGAAAATTCTACAAAAAAACATTTGCCTCACAAGAACCATTTAAACAAGAACAATCAACTTCCATATAGATGAACATTCCAAGGTTCTTCTTTGTAAGACCAGGGCCTTTATGTGGCGATATCTCCCTTTGGGATGCACGTCCAATGAGCATCAGGCAAGCACCTGCAGTCCTGTTATTTAGGCACCTGCTTAAACCTCATCTGTTCACACAGGCATTCCCAAATATTGTATTCATACAATATTTTGATTTGTCATGTGTATTATACTTCTTATGAATGCAATTTTATTGTTGTTTTTATGTTTTTCATTGCTCTTAATGTTTGCAGTATAGTTGTTGTTTCTGCAAAAATGATAAATATAGAACCATGCTATTTCATGCAAAAAAAATGGCTAGGATCCTCAGTTTGGTCCTAGTGGCCAAAGCAGTCTCTGAGCAGAGTTCAACTCCTGGGAAATTCCTGCTACTGGAAGGGAGAAAGAACGCTAGCAACCCCCCCCCCCCGGAGCAGCCTGAAAGACAGCTCAAGGAAAATGAGGGGGAACTATCCTGCTGCTTCTGCCAGGTGATGATCTCAGTTGCATCATGAACAGGAGGAGACTTTCCATTCTTGGAAGCCTAGTTAAGATCCAAACCATAATGTCTCCCCATCTCACATCCCTATTTAACTGCTTCACACTCATTCCAGTATAAGTTATTTAAACTGTTTTATTTTTTCTCTTGTTTCTCCAATCTCTAAGAGTTGTTACCCAATTGCAGCTGGGCTCAGTTCCAGAGAATAGCCCAGGTCAAGAAATAAGCTTTTCACACAGCACCTAATAGAAATAGTTGAACCTCCTCCTTCTCTCTCTCTCTCTCTCTCTCTCTCTCTCTCTCATTCACTGTGGCTGCAAAAAAAAGTGAGCCCAATGTTTATTATGTTAAATGAAAGCATTTGATTTAGCTATTTGATTTTTCTCTGCAGAAGGGAAAAGTAGACCAGAGTTATGTGAATAAGGAAATGTTGTATTGCTCACCTTTCTTCAACAGAAATTCTCCAAGTACAGCAGAAGTCACCATTTCATGTTCTTTTATCACATAACCTAAACTCGAAGGTAAATCTATGCAATGGATTGTAATTTCTACTATACAATTAATTTATTTCAGCCTTCTCTTGTTTAGTGAATACCAGATCAATGTGTTATAAAAACAATTGTCCATAAAGAATGCTATCTGGAGGTGAAATGAAGTTCAATGATTTGAACCAGAGGTATCTGTGCACAAACAAGTTTTTTCACCAATGTTATTGGGGGAAGCAGTCATTTTTGCTGTCCAGCAACTGAGCTATAGGGATAAAGCATCTTCAAAATGTCACTGTAATCACCAGTTCCAAATATTACTGTGAGGCAAGCCACAAAGCAATGCTTTGAAAACAAAGCATTTCAGGATTGGTGATCTGGAAGAGGAATAATTTGCTTCCAACTGGGGAAGCTCAGGAATCTTTCCCAATGCAAATGAATAACTGCAAAAGAGGACATCACTGATGTCCACAGTGGCAAAGATCAATTATTTTCACTTCAATGTTTCTCCACCTCCAAGAAAAATTACTTACCTGAATTTTCAACAATACTTCCAACTATCTTGTCACAATGAAGTGACACCCCTCTCCTTTTCATGTACATGCGCGCGCACACAACTTCCCATTCCAGGCAAGGTCAATGAATGCTCAGACACACTCACTCTGTTAATCAGTTTGCTCCACTTCAGATTGCAGCCATTAAGTCCAATTCTATGAATATTTCTGGATTTTTCAGCAATTGGGGTTTCCCCCCTCAAACCATGACTAAGAATTCATAGTATCCTTGCAACAAAGCTTTTAATATCATGTATAAAAATAGAGTTATTTACATTTGAAATACTGGTTACTACATCATTCGCAAAGGGAACTCCAGAAAGATTGATACCTGAAGGCTTGAGAGAAGTGGGGGAAACACAGCAGGTTTGGAAGTTCCAAGTCTCCTAGGTAAAGGTAAAGGTTCCCCTGACCATTAGGTCCAGTCGCGGACGACTCTGGGGTTGCGCGCTCATCTCGCTCTATAGGCCAAGGGAGCCGACATTTGTCCGCAGACAGCTTCTGGGTCATGTGGCTAGCATGACTAAGCTGCTTCTGGCAAACCAGAGCAGTGCACGGAAACGCCGTTTACCTTCCCGCCGGAGTGGTACCTATTTATCTACTTGCACTTGACATGCTTTCGAACTGCTAGGTTGGCAGGAGCAGGGACCGAGCAAAGGGAGCTCACCCCACCGCGGGATTCGAACTGCCGGCCTTCTGATCGGCAAGCCCTAGACTCTGTGGTTTAGACCACACCGCCACCCGCGTCCCTTCCAAATCTCCTAAACCATTATAAAAGTACCACCTTCTTGCAAAGCACTTCTTCTCCAGTCTGAAGTGAACAGGCTTCCTGTTTCAGGTTAAGGGAACTTCACGCACCTTTGCTGAATGCATCCCACTGAAAGTAATCCGCACAAAAATATGATCACTAGCCCTCGTCCAACAAGAATTTACGAACGACTTTGATCCATGATCTACTTAAGACCTCATACTTGCATAGAAGAAAATTTAGCCCCAACAACTTCATTGAGATGGATATGGTTCGGCTTAAATTCACTTGATTAACTGCATTTGTGGAGCAGGCTGTAAAGGAGCAGCTGGATTCTTGCTACCTTTTCATCTTAGGGTTTTTTTGTTTCTTAACATGGCTAAAATGATAGAAGTAGTCTTACTATTGCATAGCTGCCAAGAACATAAGATCAAATATATTATAAATTTTGAGTTTTGCACACTAGTCTAGAATACCACTTTCCTTTGGCATACAAATAACACTGTTTGGGATTAGCTTGTACAATCTATATTTTTGGTCCATGCTGTTAATGCTAGTGGAGTTGTCCTCCTGTATATCTTCAGTTAGTCAAAAAGGCTTTGGAACAGTTTCTTCAGGTAACGATGCAGAAAAGTACTTTTCCAAACCAACCAGTTTTGCTGAATCAGAAAATTCAGCAAATTCCCTCTTTCCTTCTTCATTATATTTTTGAGTGCATTTTCCCTTCAAAATGAACAAGGAGAGGGCTTAAACACTAAGCAGACTTGATTTCTTTGCATCAGTTTGTTTTGGTCCATACAAGTCAGGATGGTATGTAAGCATAACCAGCAAGAGTATTGCTTACTTTAACTAAGCTGTAGTTCCACATAATCTGTTGGTTGTTGAAACCTCTTTGGTATCACTTTCTGGTCTTCCTGAAACCACAAATGGCCAGGTCTGAAATTAAAGCGGTATTCAATGTTAGACAAAAAGGCGAAAATATGCAAACAACAAAAATCCTACTGCTATTTCTGTTCCAGTCCCCATTTCAAGAAAAAACTCAAAAGCATTTTCTTGAAAGGGTGTTTAAAAGTCACACAGCACCCCTTGAATCGCATTAACTTTCTCTTTAAGGTGTCTGATTCTGCTGGGAGAAAAAGTGCTGAAGGCTTAAAACTCTTCTCACTTTACGCTGTTAACTGCAGCCTATACCCCTTGGCAAACACTAATGAACCTCAACCTGGTTTTGTATGCATAACTCTCCTCTGCTTTATTCCAAAATAACGCAAGGCAAGGCAACCCAGAGGAGTATGTTGGTCCAGCAGAATGCAAGATGCTTTGCCTCAGTTTGTTTTGGTCTGTTGGCCAAGCAAAATGCAAGATTCTCTTTACAAACTTATCTGATGCTTCAAGGTGATTAGGCAAACTTATGCTGCGTGTTATTGGTATTTTGACTTAACAATTTCTCTTTTTGTGAAAGCAGAGCCTTGAAATCTGGTACTTACACAGTCATGATAACAATGGGGGGGGGCTGAAGCCTGCTACCAATTTCAAGTTTACCCCCATTCACAGAACAGAAAGAACCTAGTTATTAATTTAAACACTCTCTCCTGTCCTTACTTTCTGTAGAACTGACACACATTGGCAAAATATATATTCAATATAATATTACACTGAAGTTCAGTAGGATTTTTTTCATTGATTTTTAAAAGCATTCATTTATGGAGGTGTATAAGACTACTGCAGCTTGTTCACACATTAGCTTTGTTGAAAATGACTACAACTGTCTTTCAAACAGAGAAGTGGTTCAAGTGAATGGGTCTAGATATATGAAGCTCAAATTCAAATCCCCATGTGGCTATTAAGCTCATTGTATGGCCTTGAAGAACAAGATGTTTTGGGACTGTTCACATGCTCACTGTGAAGCTAGAACTTGACAGAACTCCTTAAGAGGGGCAAGTTATGAATGTACTAAGTGCAACTTAAGCTTTGATGCAGTTTTTTACACAGATGTATATTCTAAGTGTGTCAGACAGCTTAAGAAATCATAAAAACTTTCATGAGTAAAATCTGCATATGAATAATATTCTGCCAGAAACAGATCCACATTGTAAAATCAAGTATTTTGTTTCAGTATTCTTGGACCTGAGGAATTAATCCTAACCATGTATACTTAGATGTTCACCATGCATACTTGGGGTTGGAGCATCTTCCCTATGAAAGAAAATCCAAGAAGATTTAGGTTGTGTCCTTTAGAAACCAGTGACCATGTTAGAGGTTTTAAAAGTTAGGAACTGCATGGAGAAAAAGAGCAAGAAGCCCCCCCCTCTCAAATTAGGACCATCCAACAAAAAACAACAATAGGGTCAGAACAGGCAAAAGTAATTCCTCACCCAATACATAACTTAGTGAATCTATTACCAAAAGAATGTGGAGATTATATTATAAATTAAGCTAGCAACAGGTGTACTTATTCTGGGACACATTAAAGGACAGCCATCACTTCCATGCTCCACTTCTGGCCAAACTTGGCCACTGCTGGAAAGAGAAAGCTAAACAAGATGAAGATTCATCATCTCATCCAACAAAGCAATTGTGTTTTTTTATGTGCACATTGATCAGGTTAGCATTTCAGAGCTTTAAAATACTGTGCTTCAGAGACAAGCATAAAAGATACACTCCACTGCTGTGCTAATAGACCCACAACTGCTTAAAACCCAGGAAGAAAACTCTCCACGGACAGATGGGAATCCATAGACAGAGCTCCTACTGACAACATGGAAAAGGAGCCAGAAGTTCAAGATATAATCAAGGATGCGGGACCTCTGATCCTCCAGCCAGTGGTGGATTCCAGCTGCATCAGCTCCAGCCAGTGCAACCAACTGTCAGAGATGAGGAGAGCAGGGAACCACAATTTTCTCACCTCAAATTTAAATAAAATCACTGAGATTTTTTTCATCCACTCAAGCTTACACAAAAACTCATAAGTCGCCTTTAGCTGTGCATTATCAACATGGTTAGCAGGTGATAAAGCTCCTCCAACTCTAAGGATACTACAGTTCCCATGTCTGCAGCACAGATGTATATTATTACAACTATTACATTATTTCTAGTTTGCAGTAATTTGTGTATACTGAGAGAATGAATGATTCTCAAAAGTTCCATTAGTTGCCTTAGAAAATGTCTGGGGGTTGCTGCTTAGCCATTAATGTCTACAGGAGTAAACTACCAGATATTTTTTAACTGCTTCATCTGACAAAACAAGAGGCTGATTTTTAAAAACAAATTAGATCTTAATAGGCAGATATGGATCATATTAACCAATCACCTGTGTCTAGGAAAAAGCCAAACAAGAATTCCTAAAGTGGCAGGTGCCAGGTTCAAGTTCATATAGGTTGCCCATATAGCTTAAATTCCTGGGACTTTTTGTTCATGATCCCTGTGCGGTGTTTAGAATTCAAGAAGCCTGAGGTGCCCGTCTACACACCACTTCCTGCTCTGCAAACTCTTGACACCGAACCATAGATGTGCGAGCCCTGGTATGATTCTGTGGTGACAGAAAAGGTGTGCTCTGCATGTGTTCAGGAGCACCCTTGGTTTAACGTGCCCAGTAGTGATGTATGGAAGTGAGAGCTGGACCATAAAGAAGGCTGATCGCCGAAGAATTGATGCTTTTGGATTATGGTGCTGGAGGAGACTCTTGAGAGTCCCATGGACTGCAAGAAGATCAAATGCATCCATTCTTAAGGAAATCAGCCCTGAGTGCTCACTGGAAGGACAGATCCTGAAGCTGAGGCTCCAATACTTTGGCCACCTCATGAGAAGAGAAGACTCCCTGGAAAAGACCCTGATGTTGGGAAAGATGGAGGGCACAAGGAGAAGGGGACGAGATGTTTGGACAGTGTTCTCGAAGCTACCAGCATGAATTTGACCAAACTGCGGGAGGCAGTGGAAGACAGGAGTGCCTGGCGTGCTCTGGTTCATGGGGTCACGAAGAGCCGGACACGACTAAGCGACTAAACAACCACACCACCAGCACACCAGCTTTGCTCCGCGGGCGCCTTCCCGCGAGAAGCTCTTACCAGGTTGACGGGGTGCACGTAGCCCTTCTCGTAGCGGTCTTCTTGCAGCAGCTGCCGGAGGTGGGCGATGTAGCTGGAGGCCAGGCGCAGCGTGTCCAGCTTGGAGAGCTTCGTGTCCGGGGGCACCCAGGGCAGGCTGGTCTTGAGGCGCGAGAACGCCTTGCTCAGCACGCGCATGCGGGCTCGCTCGCGCGCGTTGGCCGCGTTGCGCTGCGTCTGCTTGCACTCGGCCGCTACCGGGCCGCCGCGGCCCGACGCCGGAGGACGCTTCTCGCCGCCGCCGCCGTTGCTTTCTCCCGCCGCGGGCGCTCCCTTGGCTCGCTTCTTCTTGCCGCCACAGCTCGTCTCCGCGTCTTCCTCCTCCTCGTCGTCGTCTTCTTCCTCCTCCTCCTCTTCCGCGGCGGAGGAGTTTCCCGCCGAAGGGCAGGGCTCGCCTCGGGGACGCCGCTTGGAGCGGGGCGGCCCCGGGTAGTCGAGCTGCAGCCCCCTCAGGTCCATCTCCGGCAGCTCCTCGGCGTCGCTCAGGGAGCCCGTAGACATGACCCAGCCCCACACGCCGAAGTGGGGCGGGAAGGAGGAGGAGGAGGAAGGCAGAGCGGCGAGCGGCGAGCGGGACCCCGCCGACCAAGGCTCCGCTTCCCACCCCCCGAGAGAAGCTGCTCGACGGCTTGGCGGGGACCGTCTCCTGACAGGGCTATATGGATAGATAGATATATATGCGCCACAGCGGGGCGTACCATCTGCGTGGGGCAACCGGGGGGAGGCCTCGCGCTCACGTAGCCCGAGTGGCGGCGCGCGGGGGAGACTCCTGTCCGAGTCACTCCCCCTCCCCTCTAGACCTGGGAGGTTCTGCCTGCCTGGGCGACGCTGCGCTCTAAGGGCGGCGCGCGCTCCATTCAAGGGCGCCCGCCTGGGTCGCGGAGGCTTTGGCCGCCGAAGCAGGGTGTGCTCCTGCTGCTCCTCCCCTTGCCGTCGGGGTGGGAGGGGGCGATTTCCAGCCAGTAAAAATCAGCTAATAAGGGACTCTCGAGGGACAGTCAGCATCCTGCCAAAGGAAAGTCCTGCAGATTGTGGAAGGGTTTTTATTTTAGTTTTGCGCGCCCTGGGGGCAGCTTCCACTGACTCGGTCCCTGGGCGCCGCTAGGAGAGATGAGTGGCGTTGGGTGGCGCTGCTCGCTAGGCAAAGGGGATCTGAAGTTGGCATGAAACGGGCCCATAAGAAGAGGAGCCCCGCCTGAATCAGGTCAAATCCCTTTCCAGGCCAGCATATGGCTTCCCACGGGGGTCGCCAGCCTGATGCCTGCGGGAAGCCTTGGAGCGCATTGCTTTCGAAGGCCAAATTACTTCGATTTAGGCTGATGGTCTCACTCCCTTTAACTGGCATCCTAATGCGGGCTGCAGCCCTAACCCCACGTACCTGGGAGTAAGTGAAAACAAGGGGACTCCTTAGTAGAGATGGATAGAATTGCGCAGCCACTCAAGGTGAAAATGGACTTCGGAGAAATGTGTTCAGAATCGAGATGGTGGCCCCAAACGAGCCTATGCTGAATGGCGAAGTTTCATAATATAGTAAAAATGAGTAGGATCGGGTTAAGGAGGGGAATTTTTTCTCTCTCTCAAATTTCATGGATATTGTGAACTGACTGAACTCTTAAGAGTTCAAGAGCCGATTTTTTTAAAAAGAAAAAAGATCCGATCTTTAATAATTGCTATCTAATGTACACTGAGGCAAACGGGTTATTATATGATCGATTTTGTACCTGCTGCAGATTTTGATTATGTTATTTGTTACCAAACCCCCCCCCCCCCACGTTTTTGCTTATAGGTAGGGCAGAAGCTAGGCGCTGCAAGGCTAAAGAGGTTCAATGACTTATTCCAGAGCTGAAAAATTAAGTAACGCCATCCAAGCCTGAGCAGTTTCCTTGGCAGTAGCCCTCCTTTTGTTTGTGTCAGATGCCTACGAAGGGCCGCCCCAGCTAAGCATGTTCCGCCAAGTTCCTCTGAAATCCACAGGACTTTTGCCATTATCTGTAGCAGAGAGGGAATGTAGGAAACGAAAACGTAGAAATCGCCCTTTGCCTGGAAGTGAATCCCAGTGAAAGCAAATGCATTTACTGTTAAGCAATTCATATAGAATCCCGATGTTATGGGAAATGGCTACAAACGATTTGCAAATTTACGCTCCGGCGACACAAACAATGATCGCCTTTTGCTTGTCATTCACGTTACTTGGAGGTAAGGCCCGTTCACATCAGGAGTGCTTTGGCAGAGCTCAGCCCTGTGAAGACCCACAGCCTTGTAATATGCCAGAGGATAATAAAATTATGGGTTCCACTGAACATGTGCAGGTTGCTCCTGCTGCATCAGCGAGGAAATACAACAACCCACCCTCACGATCTAGGACTTGTTTTAAGGACAGGAGTATGACTGTCGGGTAAACTTGACTCATCCTCCGCACTTTTTATTTTCTCAAATTAATCAGCTCCTTCAGTGGAGTGGAAACATCATTTATTTGAGGGCATTAAAGCATTTCGGAGGTTATGATCCAGCGAATAAAATGCTTCTTTTGTATTTATTCCAGTGCGTCTTTGTCTCCATAACTGCACCAAAGTGGCTATATATAATTGTTTAAAAAGTGATATACTAAAACGAAAAACCAATCTAAGGCGACCAGCAGACTAAAAACAGGAGGAGAAAATTTATAACAGCATTTTTAAAAAATGCTTCCGAAACGCGTTCGGCTCAGAATCGTTCAGCCCCAGGGCTCTGTTCCCGCGGAGCACAGAGGCAATCCCACTCCCCTTGTGAACTGCAGCTCACGGCCTCCCGCTTAAAGTCCGAGGCTGCGACCTTCCACACACTTTCTTCGGATCAGCTCCCCTCCCAAACCCGTGGGACCTAATTTCTGAATGCGCAAACATGAATAGGATCTTCGCAATGTGACCCACCCCTGCGGCCGGGCGAAGAAAGTTCCCTGGCGCAGCGGGGCCGGGGCTGTGGGTGTTCCTCCGCCCCTGACGGCCGCAGCAGGTGGGGATCTGGGTCCCGAATTCCTGCATCTGCAACCTTTTCGTTCCATCCGCCTTCCCACCAGACTGGCGTTGGCACCGCCGCCACCTCCCTGGCGTTGCGCTTCTTGGCACCGCCGCTTCCCACGATGGAGCCGCTTTCTAGCTGGATTTTGCAACCCTGGTGTCTCAGGGAGGTTTCCCCTTCCCACCCCCCTTCCTGCTCTTAGAAAATGCCGTTCTTTATTCGGAGCCTGCCCTCCCCTTCTTTTCACGGGCAACTCTCTCCCAAGCCAAGAATATCGGTGGAAGAAGCTCTGAAATGCACCCGGCGTCCAACTTGGCACTTGGAGGCGCTGAACTTGCGCTGACACCGGCCCCTAAGCCCTGCCTCGACTTCTTCTCCCAAGCAGGTGGCTGGCTGGCTGTGCCACAAGCCCGATCCTGAAGAACACCCGCGGAAGAGGCGTATCAACACACACACACATATCCCGGAGGTTAGATGTGTAGGTTTCGCCTCTCCGTTTCTCCGGATTGTTTATACAGGTGCAGTCTGAACTCTTTCCTTACTAAAGATTAATGGGAAGGAAAGTGCTGGCTATTTCTAAACAGTGGTGGAAATGTCGATGCCCGATTGTACTCTTCTTTTGCCACGCTGGGAGAGGCCTGTCTCTCCCTCCGCCCCCGCCCCCTCCGTGGGCTGAACTTCACAGGCGGGAGCGGGTGAGGACCTTAAAGACTACCTCCCAAAAAAGAGAGACCTTCCGGGCTCAAGCTCATTGGGAAATGACGCTCTCTTCGTCCCATGCTTTCATTGCAGAAACACTCAGGCTCGACGGTGATAATCGGCGAGGCACTCTGTGCATGCTCAAGGGCATTCCCACGACAAAGCACTACTTTGGATGCTGGCCCAGCTGAAGGCGAAGGGAAACGCCAATTTCCCATTTTAACAAGCCGCCTGAAATACTAGAGAACGTGGCTCTCCCTCCCTTTCCCCCCTCCTCTAAATTTTGTTGGTGCTTGTGTAAACCAATCCTGCAGAGACTCCCCCTCCCCTTGTACGCGTGCGTGGTGCTCCTTTGGCTGCCTAAGGAGTGGCATGGGGAGAATTGGGTTTGCCATTACAGTGGTACCTCGGGTTACAGACGCTTCAGGTTACAGACTCCGTTAACCCAGAAATAGTACCTCAGGTTAAGAACTTTGCTTCAGGATGAGAAAAGAAATCATGCTGTGGCGGTGTGGCGGCAGCAGGAGGCTCCATTAGCTAAAGTGGTGCTTCAGGTTAAGAACGGACCTCCAGAACGAATTAAATTCTTAATCTGAGGTACGACTGTATTATTATTATTATTATTATTATTATTATTATTATCGTCATCAATTGAAGGTCTCATCGACCTCAGCAGGTAAATGAGTTCGAGAGAGGAGCTGGTCCATTGACAAGAAGGAGGAGCGGAAGGGGTCGCTTGACTCTCCGCAAGCCCCTCATTTGTTCTGCGCTTGAGCAGCGCCAGCGCATCAAGTTCCAAAACAAATCCTTCGCCGGGGACGGAGAATAACGTCATGCTTCGGCTGGTTCGATGAAGAATCCATAGAAAGTTGCAGCAGCTGCAGGAGGAGGAGGGGGGGTCCCCCTGCGGAAGCCTGCGTGGCCGGGCAACCATATACCGAACTGTGTGAACCGGGTTCAAACTCGCCGTCCTCATTAAAGGCGAACTCTCTCCCTTCAGCCTTCAGTACTCCGAGACTCAAATCTGCAATAAGCACCTGTAGTTTAGTGTTTAGCTCAAGTCTCAAAGTTCTTGGATACAATATTGCTATCAGCGAGTTACAAAGATGAGACCTATCCATTGGCGTATTGTGGGGTTCCCAGCGTTTTTATTTCCTCTAAGGAGCTCAAGGTGGTGAGTGACAGAGCGCACGTTTTTTTGCGCGCAAAAGGTCACGGGGTCGAGTCCTGCCATCCCCAAATCTGAAACCCCGGACAGCCACTCCCAGTTAGCATCCACACTACTGAGCCGGATGGAGCATTTATTTGCAGTCTCCGATGATGCTCCCTCTGCCATTTATCCCGTTTAACTGACCCCTGTGAGGTGGGCCAAGCTGAGAATTGGCGACTGGCCCAGGATCACCCAGTGAACCTCCTGGCTGCGTTGGCATTTGAAACAAGGTGTCCCCGGGAGACTCTAAGCACTACACCACACTGTCTTGCTCCACGAGTAAAGGAAAAACGCCATGGAAAAGCCACGCACTGAACTCGGAGGAAAGTGTGGTGCGATCCCGTGCATTAGAGGTGCATGGAATTCTGCAAGGTGTGGAGAAATAAACATAAATAAACATATTTAGATAAAAAAAGTTTTCCTCCCTCTCACATATTATTAGATCTCAGAGGTATCCAATGAAGCTGAATGTTGGAAGATTTAGGACATTGGTATACCAATGAATATCAATTAAAATAAAATTAGACCAATGTATGGAGGATACTGCTAGCCCAAATGGCTATGTTCTGCCTCCACTGTCCGAGAGGCACTATGGGAATCACGCAGCGTGCTTTTGAGCTCCAGTTCCGCATGCTGGCTTCCCATTGCCACGTGGTTGGCCACCGTGAGAACAGGATGCGAGACTAGATGGGCCATCATCTTAAGACCTGGTGATGATGCTATTATATATTTATTTATACTCCACCTTTCCCCCGTGAGGAACTCAAGGCGACTCAAACAGATAAAAAACTAAGCAAGACTAAAAACATAGATCCAGACACAAACCCTACTAGGTTAGCTAGCAGGCGTGTTTAAAGATCCTGTTGCCTGCCTAAGTGATCTCATTGAGCTTTCAAATAAAAGCAGTTTAGACTATAGCGATGCAGAGGGGCCTAGTTTCAAATAAGACGGGTTCGGAGATGGGAGGGAAGGCGGGCAGGCCAATTAAGAC